ATAAAAACATCACAATAATCCACATGACTTCAGTCCATCAATTAATATCTTGTGAAGTGAAAAAACTGTTTGTTTGAGTCCTCGATCCATAATATTGCTTTCTCAAGTGGGAAAAGAAAGTTGTCTCGTCAGAATCAGGCATGAACTATACACAGATCAAGAAAGAAAAACAGTACAAAACAGTTCTACACAAATATGTCAATGGATTTTGATGTTAGAGGACTTCAGGAGATGGACTTTTTCACCAGAGGAAGCGTTATTATAGATTATAGACTCGTAATGCTTTGATGATGGATTTGTTTCTCACAAACACACAGCATTTCACTTCGCAAGATGTTAAATGACAGACTGAAGTCGTGAGGATTATGAGATGTTTTTAATCAGCTGCTTGGTTTCTCATTCTGATGGCACCCATTCACTCCAGAGGATCCATTGATGAGCACATGATGTAATGCTAAATATTCCCAAATCTGTTCCGAACAGATTTCTGGATGTCCAAATTAAGCATGGCTAGTCTCAAGTATGCAGCTTATTCAAAAGACAATAGAGCTTTACTTGTTCAGTATGTCCAGGAGTTCAGTGGTGGCAGAAAAGGTCTGAAGCAAAGAATTAACACAGCAGGACAGATTGTAGTTTAAAAGATCCCTCACTTCTGAAACATTAGATCATATTTAAGATCATTATTAGTTCCAGCATTTCTGGATAAACTTCAAAAATGGTTCAAAAGACTGAAATGACAGTAGTTACAGTAGCAGTATTTTTTTTTTTGTTAAAAATGTGATATGATAGATGCAAGTCTCTGATGACCTACCATAATTCAATGATGCAGAGCGGTAGAATAGTCGAGACATTTTACTCCAATACTTCCCCATCCACAGACATATACGACTGCAAAGGCTTCTCAGTGTTGTATCTATGGAAACCTGCTGTGTCAACATTAATCTGAGTATTGGTTATAGAAAATCAAGCTAAGCTGACGAAATATTTACCCTCTTCAAGATACTTCCGCTCCCTTTTACTCGTAGCATAACAATGAGTTTCATACAGACATAAACAGAAACAGCTGATTTTACTTTCACTTTCAATTCACGCTTCAGTTTCTATCACAGATACGAAACTAACACCCGGTTCAGAATAAATGACTTAGTATTGTTGTTATTAACAAACGTGATCGAATCATTATTATTACTATTTTTATTATTCATTTTTTTATTTAGTGTTTGTTTTTACAAATATGCCTGTATTCATTTGTATTTATTAGTTTGAGTTATTTTAGTTCTTCACCTTAAGAACTAGCAGATACAAAACTAGTTTGTTTGATTTTTGTAGTTGACATTCATTTTAAATCACAAAAAATTGTTTTAATTTTAGTTAATATCCCAGATAAAAACCTCTGTTGTTCTCATTCTTACTAAAAGTGCATTTTAAAAGTACATATTAATAAAACTTAATACTAGTCTTAACCGTGACTATTCAATGTGATGTACAATAGTTGTTTATATAATTTACATACTGTGTCTGGAGCAGATCCACATGAACTCATACATTCAAAAA